CTATGAAGGACGATCTGGTGAAGGAAATATTTGTATATCAAATGAAAACCTTAAAAAAAAAAAAAGGACCTGAATCTTTTTTTTTTTTTGTATTACAACTCTGAACTCTCATTGTATTCATTCTTCATCATTATTTTCAATACTGCTGATTTGTTTTAAAGTTTTTTTTCCCTGGGACGCTGGTAGCCTGGTGGTTGGTGTGCGGGCCCTGTGTGCGGAGGCTGTGGTCCTCCAAGCAGACGGACCCGGGTTTAAATCTGGCATGTGGTCCTTTCCCTGATTTCTGTCTCTATCCACTGTCCTATCTATAAATATGAAGGCACAAAAAGCCCAAGAAATAAAACCTTGAAAGTTGTCCTGTAAATGCTATGTTAGCCTGTAGTTTCATATGTGCAGTAGGGCTGTGCAATTAATCACAATCTTTATTCTTAATGTGATATGATCCTTTGCAATAGACACAGCCTGTAAAGTGTGAATTTGTCAACGTCAATGTCTACATTTGTCCAGCTGTTTGAGGCCTGTATGTGTATAAAGGCCAGATGAAGCTAAAGCTAATCAGCTACCTTAGCATAAATTAGTTCCAAATTAGTGGAGAAAAATAACTTTTTTTTTGTAATTTATTTATTTTGGATTAAGAAGGGACTGTTCTGTAAAATATGAAGAACAGCAGATAGTCTGAGAAACTGTGAGTTAAAGCTAATGTGCACTCTTTGAATTTTGATTATTAATCACAATTTATATCGTTTATCGTTATTTTGAACAATGTTATTGAGCATCGCATATTTGTCTCATATCGTGCAGGCATAAAGTGAAGTCAGAATTAATATCTGTCCTACAATTCTGATATAAGAAATAAGATACTTGTTATGTTAACAGTTACATGCCATAAGAAGTAATTTTATTTACCAGAACATGAAGGTGTCTTATAAACATTCAGGTCAGTTAATTATACATTTCCAGCTCTATGTTAATCTTTAACTTATACAGATAATGAAAGACTGACTCATTTTAAAGCAAAATACTGTAAAAGCATTTTCATTTTCATGTTTTCAACAAGTGCTTCCAGAGTTTCTGTGCGTTGCGTCTGCAGCTGCGGCGCCATTCATCACATGTTGAGCAGCGAGCGAATGAAAAGATCGTTTTCCACCGGCCCTTTAAGCACAGCTTTGTCGGAGAGTTCAACAGCCAAGCGACAGATGAGTTAGGAGCCCCCCAGGGCCCTTTCCATCCACCTAGCTCTCAGATGCTTTTGTCCACAACAGACACTGAATAGGTGAGCCTTTGTGCTGACCCCCCCCCCCCCCACATCTACTGACCCGCCCAGCCCCCGATGAGCTTCCCCCCCTTCTGCTGGGACAATGCGATGCTCCAGAGAACTGATACAGCCATATCCGTGTTACCTCTGTTTTATGTCTGGATTTATGTCACTTTAACACTCGCTGTGGGCAAAGTGGAGAAAAGCACCGGGACAGGAGAGACCGTCCACAGGGGTTTACATCCTAATTACATTTCTGAGAACAGTTTCTTCTTCTTCTTCTTCTTCTAAACAATATCTGCGTACCATGATGGAAGGCCCCATAGGAAATATCTTATGCTCATTAACATTCTGGGTTTTTTTTTTTTTTTTTTCTTCAGCGGGCAGTTTGTGAATCATCTCGCTTTGTGGGGGAGGCTTAGATCATGTTTCTTAATGCCCCTCTTCCCCGTTGACGGATGGTTCCTGCTTTTCCTGAGTGTCCCATTGTAGCTTCACGTTTGTTTTGTGTGTTCTCAATACTCGCCAAAACAGAGGACACATTCATGAGGTCCAAAACTGACACGTCGTCATTAAAGATAAGGGCACGTCCAGGTAAACAGGTGAGTTTCAGAAGGATGAGGACAAACACATCTTGTTTTTTGAGGAGTTTTATATACAAAAGGGAATGTTAATATTATTTTTGTGATTTATATTAGACTTGATAAAAAAATAAAATAAGACGCTCTTACCTATATTCTAGAGATAGGACAGTGGACAGAGTCAGAAATCGGGGACGGAGAGAGTGGGGAACGACAGGAGGGCTTCATAAATTCTTTTACCCCCTGAGCAGTTCACTGATTTACTGGTGATGCTCTAACAATATTTAAAGCACCCGTTCTTTTAGAGGAGGACCATTACAGCCAATGGATCACAATCAGAAATACTTCACTAATCCCAGGGGGAAATCCAGTTGTTACAGCTGCACACACACACACACACACACACAATACATATCAGTAGGAAATATAGAAATGAATTTAGAATATAAAATAAAATAGAAATAATAGAATAAGCAATATGTACCAAGTGAGAGCTACTCACTGACAAACATGCAAAAAAACAAATAAAAACAAAGAACTCCATGTTTCCTGGAGATCACGAGATTTGTACATGGTCCCTCTGGTACATACGAAAATCTCAATAGTATCATAGTGAGTGATGTGCAATTATTTTTTATAGTTTATAGTGTTATATACACGTTTGAGATTAGAGAGAAAATGAAGTAAAAATAAAGTTTTTCTTCATGTGTATGATGATACATTTTCTTAGGTTTTTTTGAGATCCTGTAGTCTGCTGTTTTGCCCACACTATGAAACAGATGTTCAAATGTGAGAGATCCCACACATGACGACACATTTTCATACCAGAGGAAAATCTGGTACGATTATTCTTTGGAACCATTCAAATATCGTGACTTTGCTTTGGCTGGCTACACGATTTTTTTTTAAAACGTGGAAGACCCCAAACATGAGAACAGTTTCAACCGATCTCTAACATTATAATCCTCCGAACGCACACACTAGACGACCCGTCCAGACTGTGAGATCACACACTTTCTGTTTGTGGTAACCATTTCAGAATGCCGATTCCACAGACACGAGATCTCACTGAAACTCCCATGATCAAACGTGACAAGCTGGCTGTCGTGGTGTGTGTTCTGTTTTGCAGCCCTTTAGTGGTATGTCTTGCATGAGACGTTATAAAGGCACTTTTACACGTCTTGTGTTGTTGCCGTGATTCCACAAACTCGTCTTCTTTTTCACTTTTCCACTTGGCTCGGGGCACAGTTGAGTTTATGTTCGCTGCCATGTTTGTGAGCTGTAAAAGTACACTATATCCGATTGGTGACGAGTCCTGGTCTGGTCACTCTCATTGGCCATCACTGGTATTACATTAGCCGCAGCCTGATGCGATTGGAGGTAAATCGAGCACAAAATCGCCCTAAAATTGTCTCGTGTCTAGCCAGCTTTCGGATTGGCCGAAGGGAGGGAAATCCGACCCAAAATCGGCACCATCATCTTGAAGTGTGTACCCTTCTTCAGACTGCCTACTTCAGCCTGGCACACATTCGCAGATGTTTAATGAATGTGGTGCCACATGTGGTTATTATCTTAAATGCTATGAAATTTGATGGGATTTTAAACGACCTTCAAATGCCAAAATAAATGTAAATCAGCCCCAAATTAAAATGTTGAAGAGCTTTTAACATCTTTTTGCCTGATTCTAGTTAAAAAAAAAATAAACACTGCTGATCCTCATTTTTTTGTCATAATGAGGAAAATATGCTTCCTTTGAACGTACTGTAACGTAAGTCTTGAAAAACTGTCTGACAAGATGGATGAGGAGCAGCTCAGCATGTGATTATCCCCAGCAGAAAAAATGATGATTTAAAGCCTTCAGAAAAGACACTTGTGATCTCTACAATGTTGGCACTTACAAAAGGGAAGCTGAAAGATATCCTGGGACAAGAATCTCCACTTCAACTTTTCTTCAACATCTGGATGTTACTCTCCGCGTTGTCACGAGTAGCAACATTGATTTATGCAAAGGCCGGGCATTTATCCATGATCGGCCTGCGGTTCTCCACAACAGTATTCATATTCATCACACAGAGAAGGATGTGCACGAGGAGGGGAGGGTGCCCGATGACTCCTTGCCGAAGGGAGAGCAAAGAGGGAAGCTGTCGAGCAATTTAGCATTGGAGGCTGATCAAATGAATGATGCATCACTGCTTTGTGGTTGGAGAATCTGAACTTCCTTCCCCGAGCTGAGCAGGCCTCCTTTTCAAACCATGCCAGTAGTTGTAGGCTCTCTGCTGCAGACGATCACAAAGGAAGCTCTAACAATTTCAACACCTCTTACAAAGACTTGGCCATTTTTTTTTGTCATGATTGTCTTCACATAGCAGAGGTGGATGTCACATCTCTTCCTTGAATTATGTTTTAGTTTTTTTTTTTTGCTCAGAGAGGCCCGAGGTTTGTTCACCGTGTCCTCCTTTAGAGCGATCTCAAAGTTCCCTCTGTGTTCAAAGATGATTATTAGATGTTTGCCAGGTTTTTAAAGTTTTCAACACCTTTTTTTTTAAGGCTTTTTCCAAGAACTCACACGCCTCTTGGCCCACTTTTCGGTCCTTGGAGCCGTGCCCGTTCCTTTTAAGAACACTTTGAGAAGTACCAGGCGCCTTAAGCCATTCTTACCCACAGTAAGGCAGCTCTTGTACCACAGTTTACGTCCGAAGGATGGATGGATTCTTATGAGTCTGCACTTGGGATTAAACAGTTGTTTGTACGGTATTTCTTTTTAACAGATCATCTTCACTTTTTTCATTTATTATATAATTAGAGCTTTGCTGAGGTACTCATATAATGGAGCTTTTTCGTCTTCTAATTTGAGTCTTTTGAATAATATTGAGCATCCCATCACAGTAAAACTGAATATTTGTGTTTGTTCATCTTTGTTTTAAATCATCCTTTACATTATAAAGCACATGAGGCAACACTTTGACGCACAAGTAAATAATAATACACGTAATGTTTTTTAATTTCTTATTTTTGTCTTCATGTCCTTGTTTGGATCTCACAATTGAAATATTAAAAACCTTCTTCATCACGACTTCTTCTACTACAACACCACATGAACACATCCCCTCCTCTGCTATTGATGCTAAGTTATAGTCGTCTCAGAATATCTGATGAGTTCTTACCTGGAGAGCGATGAGGATGTTAGCCAGAGCTTGCCCGTAAGTGTCATGGCAGTGAACTGCTAGAGCGCTGCTGGGTACTTCTCTCATCACACTCTGCAGCATCTTAACCATGGAGCCCGGGGTACCAACGCCGATGGTATCCCCCAAGGAGATCTCATAACAGCCCATTTCATATAACCTCTTTGCAACCTAAAGAAAAGGGAACATTTAAAGTCTCTTTAATCATTTATATTCCAACTCTCAGTTACAGGAGGAATATGAAGAGGTTGAAACCAAACACAGAACACTGCTTTCATTCACGTGACGTTAAACTGAAAAAAAAAGAAAAAGGGAGGGGATTTTTTTGACCCTAAGCATTTTATTTCAAAGTTTTGGATTCAAGTCAGAGATGGTTTATACTTAAGGAACAAAAAAAAAACACCATCCCATCCACAGGTTATCCAATGCTGCTGAATAACGAGCCTGTCTTTTGTACTTTAGATACAAAAGATAGTTCAAATCTTCATCTATCATCGTCTCATAGACGATTTATGCCTCTGGGAATCAAATGTCAATTTCTACATATTTCCGGTGAAGCCATCGGTTAGTATTGAACGACTTCCTGTCAGCGCTCGTTCATCTGTCGAGTCTCAGTTCAGTTCAACAGCAGAATATAAGTTATACAGCGGGCTTTACTCCGACTCACTTCAGCGCTACGAGCCCGGAAAAGAAACCGATTTTCGTATGACTTACTTGCAGCTGAAGTGAATCAAGTTTGCAGAAATAACAAGATCGTGATGCAGGTCTGTTCTCAAAAGGAGAAGAGAACTACTTTCTACTTTTCTTGCTGTCCACACGTTCTGTTTCTCCTGTATACACAAAAGCCTGCTGACACGTTATTGGTCAATACAGCTTGGACTACAAACAGAAACCAGAACACTTCCCATGCAGGAAATCAACACCTTGTGTACAGATTCTACAATTTAGAACCTGTAAATAAAGATGAAGATATGCAAACATTTCAAAATGACTAATGAGTCTTGCAAAGGGGTTGCATTGGTAAAAAGGCCCAATAGTAGTATTTTGCATAGAATTAAAATGCATTTATTATTCATAGGAAATATGTAATAGCCAGAGCATTGATAATAAGTCTACATCATGGCCACAGTCGGCGCTCAGCACTGAATTCATGTTTTACCCATGCAACCCCTTCACAAGAGGCATTAATCATAGCAAGCCCACAGTACCCAAAAAGAACAAGTATCTGTTTACTACATAGAGCCTGCAGTACCACTCCTTTAGCTTCAATCTCATGATGATCTTTGATTCATATTTCTTGTCTTGAACGTTTCATCATGAATGATTTCTCACCTGAGCAACTTTGGACGGTTCGATTTGTCCCTCGTGGGGGCATCCAAGGGCACAGGACACATATCTGAAAATTGACATTTTGTGCCAATTTGAATATTTTCATGTAACGCCTTATGCTGTTTTTGATTACAACAACAACTTTTTTGAATGCTACAGCAATACACTTTAACATCAACAACTTCACGCTGCTGTTTCTGTGTTCTTGATATCGCTGAAGTGACATTCAACAGACTATCTTACTAATGCCTGTTGATGTTGTTGCTGTCAGATGGACTGGTTTGATGAGGATAATCTAATTCTGATGAGTTCTTGCGTTTGTTATTCTGGCTCTTTATCCGTTTGTCACTGAGATATCTCAAAGGCCAACAAAAGGATTTAGAAGATTTGATTGCTGATTAGATTTTCTCGGTTTTCCAGATCATTGTTCTGTGCCATTTCTGAATCAACAATCAGCACTTGGCACTCGGAAAGTGACAGCGTTGACATGAATCAACTGTTTATCTAGTGTGTTGAGCTCTTTTTGGACAAAGAGGCTCATAGAAATCTGAGAAAACACAAATTACAAGTGGCAGCTTGCCATTCTGTGTCTGACAAAAGGCACAGCTAAATATATAAAACCCTGTTTGGTTTGCTTTAATGTCCATCTGGACGAGCGGTTTCTTTATGCATAGATATAACCTGGTGAACATCTGGAAGTTTGCTTTAAAGGTATCATTACTCCTACATATAGAAACCACAATATTTTAAAACAGTTTAAATTTAGAGCTTATCAGTGCAGAGCGAAAGTGAGTACAAGCATCTAAAATATGTGCTTTCTGTCATTATACGTGACAATTAACATCAAGAGTGCTACTACTAACCCGCGGACTGGAATTTGTTGCACTTTGGCAGTGTTAATGACTTCCTGAAACCTCAGCATGCTTTCATCAATAGAGCAGTTAATATTTTTTTTACTGAAGGTTTCAGACGCTGACCCGAACACCGCCACCTCAGTAGCACCAGCTGCGACCTTAAAACAGGAGAGAAAAACAAACTTGTATAACCGCTTTTAACACCGTGTTAGAGTTACAGTTACGTAAGTGCAAGAATGATCTGCCTAAAAAAAAAAAAAAAGGGACTGTAGCGCCAAGATTTAATTACAATTGACAAGTACGGGTAAACAGTTATGGTTTATAAGCGGGGGGAAATATTGTGCTGATTTGAAAATGTATGCTTACGGCATCCTGAAAGCCTTGCATGTTAGGTGTCAGAACAGGGTACCGAACATGAGGCGCTCTCTGGATGCCTTTGAGTACATCAGTGTGGTCGGCCATCTGAATGAAGGAGGGGAAAACATATGATGTAGAAAAATAAACCTTTAACATCATCATCATGTTCCCAGAAATACATTACCTGCACATATGTTTTCACATGCATCTAGGCTGCAGATGATTAATTACTGACAGAATTGTGTTTTTAAATGTCATACTTATAGTATAAACAAATATGTGGCATGATTTTTTTCTTTTACAGGAAGTAAAAACCGATGCATTTTCTGACAGTCAAAACAAGAGGGTGGCTTGCGTATCTCAAAGTATTTTTTCTAAAGCATATTCATGTCCAAAGGAGGAGCACATTTTGCTCAGTGGTTATGCAGACAAGAAAGAGAGCCTAATAAATCACTCAGCACTCTCTTGCCGTTCACAAAGAAGAGTTATTACCTGCGGTACCCACTTTGAAGACACAAAGCTGGTGGCCTCGATCACAGTCAGGCCTGTTCCTGAGAGCATGTCTATCAGCTGGATTTTCACCCCTGTCGGAACAATTTCCTGGGGAACAATGAAACCGAAACAGCTCTTTCTGGATTTGATTCCGCTCAAGATGGGAGGTACAACAAGCACATATCTTGCAGGTTTTTTTTTTCCTGCTACACACATTGATATCTACATTCATATGCTGACACTTGTTGAATATTTAGAGCTCTCTGAAAATATACAATATTTCTGTGTATAACACTTTGTGGTAAATATTGTTAGCTCTGCATCGTGTGCATTCTTCTAAAGCTACAGGCCTGCTGTAAGGAAATGATAAGCAGTGACATGCTAAGCACAGTAAACTAAGCCAGGAGCCATGTCATCTTTCTTATTCAATTTCAAAGAAAATGTGAAACACATGCCCCCTGGCAATTATGGCACACAACCCATATGTTGTGGATTATTTTTTGTATAAAAGAAACAGGAAAAAAGGGGGTTTCCAGCCTTGATAGTGTTTAGTTATACAAAACAAGGGAGGACATAAATAAATGAGATTCATGACTGAAATGACAGTGTGTACCTTTTCATTTTGAAGTCCATCTCTCGGCCCAACCTCGACTATTTTAACAAAGTCTGGGTACTCATGTCCTGTGATGGTCTGGAAAAATACACAAAAGACAGAAAAGAGTAAAGAGAGGAGTACCACTCAACACAAACACTTAGTCATTCTTCGTGCAAAAGAAGCTCCAGGACAAGTTATGTCTAACGCAAACTGTCTGCCCGAAAGCCAGAGGAAACATGAGACCCAAAACATAAACCTGTCATGCCATTAGGATGCACAAAAACTCGAGAGATGTGACACAGAAAAAAAGACTGGGAGGGGGGTCAGGGTAACTCCCTGGTAACTCCACAACCACAAGAGATTTTTAGAGGATCAGGGTATTTCCTGATTTTAAACACATTATATCTTGAGAAAAATAATGTGTCAAGGTCAAATGGTGTATTTCTTCAGAGCCCCTGAAGTCCCAAAAACGTTAAAAAAAAAAAAAAACCCATCTGTGCAGATAGTTAATATCTTGAGCACATTGATAATAACTTGAGCACACAACATAGGCTATTAACATGTGTAGAAAAAGATATGTATCTTGTGCGCACAATATACTAACTTGTGGGATCAAGATATAGGCCAATGTTGTGCACACAATCAGAGATATTATTTTTTTAAACCTTTTGGGACGTCAAGGGCTCTAAATAAACTTTAAGGTAACATTATTATTCATGCCTATCTGTATCCCCGTCAAAAAATGCAACCATAACAAAGTAATTTCATATCAACTCAGTACCCACTCCATATTTGTCAGAGTTTGGTACTCTTATTGTGAAAATTTCAGAATAATCTCCTATCATTTAATGTTCCCACTGTACAGAATCACTTTTTAAGATTTTAGAGGAAGCGTTTCTCGATAGAAGAAAAGCCCCTTTCAAATAATGCTCCATGTAGCCTACTGCACAGAGCCGCATGGTCGCACATCTCGACGGGTAGCACTTTTCGATAGAACACCTGTTGGCATCGAGCAGCGTTTTACGTCATCTGGCTGTGTTTCTTGCGTACCTGACAAATGTAGGTCCAGTTGCACTTCTTTTAACTATGCCTAATCCCAACAAACGGAACAAAGTATATGTGTTAAACTTCACCAACTACCAAACTTATGTCTCAAAACACTTTCTGCTGAAGCTAGCTTGTTTATAGTACTGGTTAACACAGCTGTGGTGAAAGGAAACAGGGCTAACTACCAAGCTAGCTTCTGCTTGGATTAGTGTGCTGAGCTAATCTTTTTTATTTACTCTAGAAACTTCTACTTCATTTGAAGGGAAAATAATGCACTTTTTATTGACAGTATTGTTTAAATTAATCCACTGAATCTTGTTAGCTGTGCAAGTCAATGCATCATTATTGCAAACAGCTTGACCTCGACCATTCAATGAGTATAAAGGTTGTAAAAGATTAATTGAGATTGAAAATGAATGCACTAGCTCAATTGCTTTTACAACCTTCATACTTATTGAATGGTCGAGGTCAAGCTGTTTGCATTCCCCTTTTTTAACTTTACTAATACCACAGTTAAAAGTCAAAACATTACACATTAAAACTCTCAAAATGTAATTCATGTACAAGAATCAAAGGTTAATTATGCTTTAACTTGCACAGCTAACAAGACTCAGTGGATTAATTCAAACAATTTGTGTATAAATAATGTAAATAAAATCTGCATTGTTTTCCATTTCAATGAAGTAGAAGTTTCTAGAGTAATTAAATTAACAATTGAGCTAGTGCAATTCATTTCAATTCAATATTGCAATAGGCTACTATTTTCTAATGTGCAAGACACAGTATATCCTCTCTCTGCTGTATACTTTGTACCTGTGCAATACATATTTTTCTATTACCTAATACATTTCTCTACCTGTGCAATATATAGATTTTTTTTTCTAGGCTACTTGTTGCAAGTTACTTCTTTTACTGTGCGGTATACATTATCTCTTATTCTTTGAATGCAAGTTGTTTAGAGCCGTGAATGCCTTTATGTTTTTGCACTTAGATGTGAAGCATTTCTATATTTGTTGTACAACTGTATAATGAAAATGAAGGCTCTCTATTCTCTGTTTTATTTTCTAAAAGAGCCTTAATGCCATATTTAGCAGATTTGATTAAATGTTAATTTTTAATCTATGAATGAATACAAACATGTGATATGTCAGCGGTAATTCAAACTTCAAACAGTTTGTCATCTAACAGAAGGTTAAGCAATTTCCCTCCTGCCAAATTATCCCAAACTTTTTGGACTGAGGCAGCAGCTCCCTGGAGTTACATAACAGAGGGAAGTCTATGGAGGGAACAGAAGCACCCTGAATATATCTTTTGTCACATACAGTCAATTAGAAAAGAATTTACCATTCTTATTTTTATCCCCTCCATCTCATGTTAAAATAAAGCAAGATGTCAATGGAGAGAGAACTATTATATAAGCAGTATGCAGCATCAGCGCTGTCATCAGTAGCTGGCTGCTTTGCTCCTGCAGCCTCTGTCATGAGAGAGTCATGTGGCAGAGCATGTGCAGCAGATTAGAAACAAAAAAAAAACAACAACGCCCACCTTCTCCTCCTGCAGCCAGCGTTTAAGCCACGGGTAGTCCTGGACGAGTTGCTCATAGCTCAGGCAGTGCTTCACTGAAGTGGGTACGTTACCCATCCGAACAGCTCCTGTTCAGCCCGCTGCACCTCAGTGTCCTCTGAGACCGTCCTGCAAAAGGCTGCTTAAACTAATCTAGCAAATTGAAGCATCAGATCAATACGCTAATGCAGGCCACGAGGAGGACAGAGAGCCTGGCTGCATGAGGGGATGGTATGAGAGGATGACTGCATGCGATGAAGGATGACTCAGCAGTTGCTATGGCAGCCACATCCCTGCTATGGGAGGGGGTGAAACAGAGAGGGGGTGGGGGGATGGAAACTGAGAGGAAATGGTGTAAAGCAAAGTGACAAGTGGAGCAATGTGGGAGATATGCGTTACACTTTTAAAGGGGGGAAATCTAGGGATGATATTATTTGGACATATTAAATAGGTGCGTTCAGGAACAGAAGGAAGAAAGTACATTTTTTAAATACAAATTCTAGTTTGCTTCAATAGATCTGTGTAGAGTTTTTTTCCCTGTGAAAGAGGTTTTTAATACAAAGTCAGTGTATGTTTTATATCTCCAATAACAATAAGATTAGATAAACATTGAACGGTTCTACTTAAAATTGGAGTCTTCTGGGAAACAGGCTGCTTTGATTGATCTCCTGTGACCTTAACATTTAAGGGGTTTCCATTGCCAGACGTGACACTGCTGCCAATGTCAACTGCATGGTGTAATAAAATCTCTTGTTAAGCCGGGGCAACATTTACCAGAGAAAGAGCCATTCTTCGGAACCCAGATGTTAACAATAGAGGGGGCTTAATGAAGTCCTAGCATTCAACCATCTCACCACGCTAAACTGCTCTGTGATGAGAGACCTGCGCCTCTCTCAGGGGAGGAGGGCGACTCGTATGATCAACCCTGAAAAAAAAAGCCTTTCTTGTAGCAGACTTCAAGGTTGATTTCTATCAGTTGCCACCCCCTAAAAGTTTCACTGCCTTTTGGCGCATTGCCTCTAATCACTTATTCATGATCCTCTAAGGAACAGGAAAACTGGGGCAGCAACTTTTAACCGTTGATTATTTAGAAAAAAAAACTGAAAATATAAAACTTTTAACAAAATACATTTTCTATTAAACCAAATCAGTGCTGACCATTAAGACTGCCCAAAACAATTTCACAGTTTGACTGTTTTATTGGGCCTTTAATTGTTTTATAGTGCATGTAAATATTTGCTTAAATGAATCAGAGCCTGGAAATAATGAAAAACAGCATCCTGAAAAATATCTAAATCAGTGCATATATAAACCTGTTAGACTTTGCACAGTTCAAGAAATGCTTTTTGTTCATATAGTTGTTTAAATCATTATCTTATGCAACTTATTATGCAAGGACGAATTCTTTACACTGATTTCTTCATTGCTATCATTTGATTTCTGCATTTCAACTTTTACAGTTCTTATTTATTCTTTTTTTTTTTTACAGTAAATGTCTCTTTCTCTGTGGCTCTCTGACTGCATCAGTCGATTAACCCTAACTGGCCTTTTACCATTTCTTCTTTCAAGGAGACGCTGGTCTCTCTCTGGCTCTGGTTTATCTTGACAAATACCAGCTGCAGAGGGTAACTTAGAGGAACTGGCCTTCAGGGGTTTGCCTGCTTTGAGGAATCAATGTCATGCAGGTGAGTGGAAACTTAAAAGTGTGACGTGGTGTATAAGAAGAAAAGAGTTGACTTATTACAAAACATAGAATCTAAACAGCAGGGCTGGGAATCTTTGTGTGTCTCAAGATTCGACTTTGATTCTTGGGGTCATGATTCAATTTAAAAATGTTAATTCTATTTTTGAACGGGTACATACTTCAGGATCTACTCCAGTCATCTGTGAGACTGAATGAATTTCTTGCTGGCATTCTACTGAGTTAAAGAGCTAGCTTTAGCACTTAGCAGGGAGTGACTGATTAACCAAAAAAAAAGATTTTTGTTAAGTTATGATTCTATTGAAAATCTCAGGAGACAGGAGATTTGTAAACAAATTAACAGACTAGAACAAAATGAGGAGCATAATGTTGATTGTTTCTAATTTGAAGGCTGTTAAACTCTCTAATACGGCGACACTCTTTACAATTGTCTAGATGAATCAAACAGATATGCCTTGACAGGAAGAAACATGTCTCTGTGCTATGTTGTAAGATGCCTCCTGAGAACAATATATTTTACACATGATGCTTTTGGAGACCTCGCAGATGATGAATGCCTCAAAATATTAAATCAAATCAAACAGTGCAAACGTCAAAAGATATTTCTGAAGTGGAAAAAGGAGCAAATAAAAATAAAAGAGACCGTTCTCTCCGAGGCACCAAGAAAGAAACAGATGTGAAGAACAGCGCTCTGTGGAGCACAGGTTTTCAGCGTGACATGAAAGATGGTTTTTAAGCTCTCAGATATACACTGAAAACAGAGTGGGAGAAAGAAAACAGGATCCAGATTAAATCAATTTTCATCCTCCATCCGTCTTCAATTTCAACAGTGTGGATTGAACCGAACTGTAACAACAATAAAGGTCCCAGTGCCTAACGAATAGCACATTCACATCCTGTGAAAGAAACAATCACAACATAGTCGACATGGACGTCGAGTTTGTTGGATGTAGTGTAAAGATAGAATAATTACGCCAAATCATAGCAACAGACTATTAAAAATGTGTATTAGTGAAACTGAAATCATGGAGAGGATCTTCTGCCAAGAAAAAAGAACATAAATGAACTCAGCATTTAATCTTGCTCGTGTGATCATCGCCCATCACATTTTAAATTCAAGTTATTTTTCGGGCCTTTTTGCCTTTATTGGATAGGACAGCTGAATAGAGACAGGAAGTGCTGGGAGGAGAGAGAGGGGGATGATGACATGCAGCAAAGGGTCAGATTCAAACCCATGGCTGCTGCGACAAGGACCATCGCCTCTGTACATGGTGCGCATAGCATAACAGGCTTGGTTATCTGGCACAACATTTAAATTATCTTCCAATATGCAGGAGGAAATGTCAACATGAACAGTTGAAAATGTAAAGGCTGTAAAAAAAAAAAAAAAAGAAAGAAAAAAGGACAGCCTACCTTACAGTGTCTTCAGGAAGGCTTTGGCTGCTCTGAGCAAACTTTCCACAGCTCCCCTTAGAGACAGCATGTGTGCTAGAGATTATACTTACTGTAATTATTCCACAGAGTACCTTGAGGCTTTATGTCACAGAAGCCACTGACCTGTGTTTGGTCTGTGTCCAAACATGATCACGACCGTTAAGTAGTGATTCATAATAATGCATTTTCTCCTGCTGGGCCTGTTAGGCTTAAAGGAACCCGGTGAGATTATTCACACCAGGGAGTCTATATTTAATAAAGTGTGCGTTTGAAAACACTAGAATCCATATGTGATAATCAATTGGCCTGCAGAATACTCGTATCATTTACTTTTACACTCTACAATCTTGGTCTTTTTTTTTTCACAGAGGCACTTGTTAACACCACTTTGTCACGGATTTATTGAGGCGGATGTTTCTAAGCAGCCAGATGTTTATTGTGCAGATTTTTCTATTGCACCGTGGAGGAGTTCATGGATGGATTACGGCCCTGACTGCCTCGTAAAGTCTCGAGATTTCCTTCATTGTATCCATGTCCTTGGTGGGATAGAAATCGAATTTCACAGCAGAATTTACAACTGCCAGAATACACATGAACTAGGTGAAGTGGTGGCTGTTGACGTCTCTATTGGCTTGCTAAATTAGTGCTGTGGCACATTTTGTGAATGATATAGATCATGAAATGTGACGTTTTCACGATGGATAAACAGAAACCTTATAAAGTCATGTTTGGTTTTCAGAGGTTTTCATTCTTAGTTGAGATGAGATGACATGACATTGACATGAGACGAGATCCTGGGCTCATCGTTCCCATGGACACACACTCACTGCAGCACGTAGTGTGAACGTTTACTGCTTGTGCCTACACTTCAAGCTAATCAGGCTAGCACAAGCTAACGGGTGTTTGGCACCTGCCTGTCCAAAAGAAAGCAGGTCAACTACGAGTCTGCAGGCTAAGGTTCACACTGCATTTGGAATGTGCTTAACTGCTTGGATTTTTGCGTCTTTTTTTACATTTTATTTTCTGTTCTTTGCCGCCGAGTCCGTCATGTTAGCCAGTTTAAATCACATCCGATCGCTGACTTGTACCCACTCCTAAACTCACCTGCACGCTGTTATTGGCTGGGGGAAACGCACCAGCAACTCAACCAGAAATGTCTCGGGTCAACCAAAACAAAATAAAACAAAACAAAACATAAAGAGCCAGGCAAAGGACAGAGTCTCTGCAGACACAGTCACCCCCACTCATGTGTGGAGTCCCATAAGTGATGTTTGAGTGGCATTACTTTTGTATAAGTCTGAATATTTAGGAAAAGCTACTGACTCTATCTTTAACTATTCATCCATATTATGGCCACTCAAAACTAAACAGGACAATTTGAGACACATTACGGGGTAAGGGACAAGTTATAGTTACAGATTATAAGATAAAGTGAAACGGCACCGGTATGATTATTGTAATTATTAATTATCTTAGTTCAGGTAGAGAAAAATTAAATACAATTTTGTGCAGTTGTTAAATATATCCGTAACAGCTTCTGATGCTTGGACTCATTTCAGTTTGTATCAAAGATTTCTGGTCCAATAAAGACCCAGAAAATACCTGACTGAAGATTTGGACAGTATTTCAGTGAAATAGTCAAAGACTGACGACACCAAATAGCCTAAGAAACCTTTACTGACATTTACAGTATCTATTAAAGCTTTCCAATAAGTAAAGGTTGTCAGGTTGCATAATTTCAACACCGTAATACACATAATGTAAGAGACGTTCAAGCACCATCCGAGAGCAACTGAATCAAGAGGTTTTATAGAAGTAATTAAAAACATGTGTTTTTTGTCTTTGGTTTAAATGGAGGTTAATGAGACACATTGGCAGATGCAGGTCTACTGAGTCAACCTCCATTTAACACTATATAAACGGCTGAATCACTCCAGTTCTCTTGGCTTCAACAGTGACTATTACCTCAAAGTCTGCGCCTCAGATTTAAAGACTTGAACAAAATATTTTTATCTTCAAAGAGCAGCATGTTCAAAACGCTCCAGCTCCAGACCTGGGAATAACAAAACGAGTCTGGGTGGGTGAGGTAAACTTCGTCAAGTCAACTTTATTAA